CCACCACCACGCTCAGCTAATTTTTGTATTTTTAGTAGAGACAGGGTTTCACCGTGTTAGCCAGGATGGTCTCGATCTTCTGACCTTGTGATTCGCCCGCCTTGGCCTCCCAAAGTGCTGGGATTACAGGCGTGAGCCACCGCACCTGGCCAAAAATGATTTTTAAAGTTAAAATTCATTTTGCATGTGGGGTAAGGAATCAACTACTGATTCATACAACACCATGGATGGATCTCACTCAAAAGCATTCTGGTGAGAGGACATACTTAAGATTCCACTTACATTAAATTCTAGAACAGGAAAAACTAATCTACCGTGATAGACAGCAGATCAGTGGTTCCCTGCGGAGAAGTGTATGGTAATGAGGAGACCATAAAGGAGCAGGACAGAACTTATTTGGGAGATGGAAATGTTCTATATCTTAATTTGGATATGGAAGTCACATGGATGTCACATTTATCAGAATAAATTGACCTCATTCTAAAAATATATTGGCTGGGCACGGTGGACTCACACCTGTAATCCCAGCACTTTGGGAGGCCGAGGTAGGTGGATCACTTGAGGTCAGGAGCTCAAGACCAGCCTGGCCAACGTGGCAAAATCCCATCTCTACTAAAAATATAAAAACGAGCCGGGTGTGGTGGTGTGCATCTGTAATCCCAGCTACTCGGGAGGCTGAGGCATGAGAATTGCTTGAATCCAGGAGGCTGAGGTTTCAGTGAGCTGAGATTGCACCATTGCACTCCAGCCTGAGCAACAGAGCGAGACTCTGTCTCAAATAAATAAATAAATAAATAAATAAAAATAAAAATATATGGATACTATTGCATGTAAATTAAACCTCAAGATGATTGATTAAAAAGCACTAATGATGCCAAGTTTTCAAAATGATACAGAGCAACTGACTTCTCCCACACCAGTGGGAAGCATTAAATGGCATGACTTTGGAAATAGGCAGTTTCTTATAAAGTTAAATGTACACATAACCTGTGATCCGGCAAGTTTTGCTTCTAAGTATTTCCCCAAGAGAAAAGAAAACATAGGTCCACAGAAAGACTTGTGCACAAATGTGTACTGCTAAATTTTTAAGTAGTTTTATTCATAATAGTAAAAACATTATAAACAACTAAAATGCCAAAAAACAAATGAACAGAAAAACATGTTTTGCCTAAATGCCAAAAAATAAATGAACAGAAAAACAAATGATGATCTGTTTATCCAATGAAATACTGCCCAGCAATGACAAGGATTTGAACTACTTGTACACATAGCCACACGAATGAATCTCAGAAACATGCAAAACAAGAGAAACCAGATACAGAATGTATTATATGACCCCGGTTATATGAGATTCTAGAACAGGTTAAGTTAATCTATAGTGAAATAAGGCTTATCATTGGTTGCTTGCACAAGGAAGGAGGATGGAGTGAGGAGGTAGGGATAGTATTGTCTGGAAAGAGGTATCAAGAAATTTTCTGGTGGTCATGGAAATGTTCTATATCTCGATTAAAATGGTGGTTGTATTGTTGTATACATTTGTCAAAACTCATTGAACAGTAAGTAGGCTTAAAATTAATGCTTTTCATTGTTCATAAATTATATGTCAGTAAAGTAGATTTTAAAAAGTCTTTTTAAAGCTTATTTTCTATTGCCTCCAAGTTTTTGGTCTAATCAACTAAGGTTGGAATGCCATTAACTGAGACAGGAAAGACAGGAAAGTCAGTGAAAGGAGGTTTGGGGAGGACGAGGAGCTCAGTGTTGGACTTGATTCTCTAGCAGGCCACAAGCAGTCACCTGGCGATCACCCTTGTTCCTCACATCTTCTGCCCATCCATCCTCAAGCACGGCCAGTCTTCCCTGGTCATTATTTCTCAAACAGCCTTTCTTTCCTTCTGGGCTTGTCTGTTCCAACATCCACCTGGATTTCTGGTGTTTTAACTTGACTCTTTAAGGGTGTGTGTATGTAAGTTTTAAATACCTACAAGCGCCAGGCAGATGATGTGGGAACCGCAGCTACCCCGAGAGGACAGGGTCCATCTGAAGGACTGCCCTCTACTCAGCTACAGTCCACTGTTTTTGGGCTGGAGTGCTGCACCAGGGTTTTTCAAGAGAAAACTCGAGTCAAACTCTCCTGGTGTTTGAAGCTAACTTAAAGACATGTAAATATCTTGTAAGCCAACTAGAACCCTTGTGCTGGGCCCAGGCTCAGCCAGTTTCCAATGCCGGTTTTATAACAAGGCAAGTTCTGGTGCTAGGATGGGCTCCAGCGTGGCCTTTTGCTAACCCCGCATTCTGCGCTGGCTCAACCTGGCTGCCAGGAGCCTGTGGGTGCCTGGGATGCTCCTGCTGCTTGCTGGTCCTGCCCTTGGCTCTGACGTCTCCCACTCTAGTATCCCAGTGGCCATAATGACAAGGAGGCCTCCCTCCTAAGGACTTTTGCCAGCCAGGTTTCCTCTTCCAAGTACACATGTAGCCCCAGTGGCCTTTTACACCCTGAAATCTGGTTGTATCTTGCTGCTGTTAAAAGTCTGTCAGTGATGCCCCATCATCCACTGTTAGTTACTAAAGGAGATGTGCATGATACACTCTCCCTCTAGAATCCACCTTCCACCACGCTCTGCCTGAGGCACCTTGCAACTGGGGGCACTACTTACACCCTGCCCTCCAGGCAAACACTGGTCCAGCTCTCTCACCTCTGAGTCTTCACTCCTGTAGTCCCCTCCGCCCAGAACACCTTCTCTAAGGCCCCTGTCAACAAACTTACCCTATCCTTCAAGACACAGTTAGAGTTCACCTCTGCTCCAGATCTCCAATCCCCTAGGGAACGGGCCTCTTTCACCTTTGTTAATCCACCACATACACCCGCTTCCCCCTGCATTTCCGTGCAGGCATCTGTCTGTTTGCACTTCTCCTTCATGGCACTATTGCACCTGTAATTGATCGGCCAATTGCAGCCACAGTTTGGATGCTTTCTTGGTTGTCTATCTGCCTTCTATTTGTCTTGTTCACGCCTTTAGGCCTGGTGCCCAGCTTCCTCGGGTGCCTGAGTCTGTGATGGGATGGGTACCTGTCTTTCCCGGGGTAGACAGTGCCCGGAATGCTGACATCAGTTTCTTTCTGACATGCACGCCTATCTTAGGGCCAGGCCCCCAGGAGGTGCTCTGGTGAAGGTTTTTGGATTTGGAAGGAGGAGGTAGCAGAGGCTACTGAGCCCCCTGCACTGGCTGAATAGTGGGTCCCAGACGGTGCCAGTGACGCAGTGGGGAGGCTGACAGCTTCTGGGTGCGAATGGCCCCACAGTGCGGCCGGGGACCACCCTGCCCACGGCCGGTCAGAGAGCCTGAGGAAGCCGCGTGTGCCTGCGGGCCCTCTCGGTGCCTCGTGGCACCTTACCCTCTACTCCCCTTGTTCTCTAACGTGTTTAATACACTTTCGTGCTGAAAATATAAACAGACTAAACGGTGCTTTACCCCGGGGAGGCAGACAGGAAGTTTCCTCGAGGCCGTGTCCCGTGAGCAGGCGCCAGTGGGCTCAGTCTCCGGGCTCCGGGGTGGCCCGAGTAGGGGGAGGCCTGCGTGCAGTGGGCGCGGGGAGCCCAGCGGGCCGGAGGGCGCCCCGGTGGGGAAGCGGACTGTCCGAGGCGAGCTGGGTGGTGGGAGTACCGCCTGGCTCGCTGTGGGGCCGCAGGGGGGTCCCGTGGCGGGCTGGGCGTGGAGCCTCCGCGGTTGGCTTCCCCGGGCCGCACCGGGGCGGGGCGGGGGGCGGCGCCCCCTGGTGGCCGAATGAGACTCCAGGGCGCGAGGGGCCGCCCACCCCGCCTCGCCCACCCGGCGGGGACGTCCGCGCCTTCTCTGAGGAAGCCAGAGGAAAGGAGCCGAGACCGCAGTCCCCTGGACCCGTTTCCTTGTCTGTGGGATGGCATGATAATTGCATCTCACAGGGCTGTCGTGAAGATTCAAGGAGCAAATGTATGTAAAGCGCTTCGGATGTCTGGTACATTGTGAGCCTTCAACCCACCTGAGCTGTTGAAACTCTGGGATTCAAGCGGCTCGGGTCAAAGAGGAACGGTGTGATACCTGCCTCTGTCCTTTCCAGTGTGGACTCAAAGGAAAGCGTGTGTCTCATCCAGACCCCCCAGTCTCTCTTTTGTAAGCTGGCGGTCATGAAATGTAATGAGGACAAAGGTTTAAACAAATATTGGTCCCTATCTGGGACCTCTGAAGTCACTTTTAATGGATTTGGGGATTTGACAGATTTAAAAAGGGGTGCCTGCTGTGTGGCCCATTTATAGACCTGTAGAGCGAAGAGAAGGAGATTAGTCACACTGGGGGCCGGAGTAGAAGCCGTTTTAAATTAGCTACCCCGCTCTGCCTTGAGACTGAGACTTTCTGACTCTCACTTTCACGCTTGGGTTCCAGCGCCCAGATGAGAAGAGAGAGAAGGTAGAAGAGGAAGGGAGGGAGGGAGGGGATAGAGCAGTGGCCACCAACTCTCCCTGAGTGGGGGCAGAGTGGGTGGTTCTCCCCAGGTGGGCGAGGTGGGGGCCCCAAGGGTATGCTGGGCAGGGGTGGAGTGTGCTGGGAGCACGCGGAAGGACTGCGCCTCTGCTCCTCGGGGTGTGGCGCGGCCCACTCAGGAGCCCCTTCTCTAGGGGCTCAGGAGACTCCAGGAGGGTACTGTGAGCTAGGAATGCCTTCCTGAGCCTGGTTGGTGGGGCCTCTGAGGCCGTTCCTTCAGGCCCTGAGTGGGCAGAGGGGCAGGTGAGCACTAATCCAGGAGCCAGGACTAGGCTGAGCCCACTACTCACAGCCTGGGGTAAGCCAGCCTCAAGACCCTCCAGGATGGTCTCAGCCTGGATCCGACTGCCTCTCCTGCGTGACCACTGTGCTCCTTCACAGGCCTCTGGCCAGCAAGTTCTCAGGATGTGCACAGGTTTTCCTGCTTCCTTACCTTTGCACACCTTTGCTTGTTCCTTTTGCCCAGAAAGTCTTTCCCAGCACACTGGACTCTCTTGAAACCCAGTCTCTCCCACATGGCTAGTATCAAGCCCCTTCTCCCATCGCTCATCGGATGAACTCAGAGCACTGGTACTTTGCCCTGTGTTAAGGTCTTGTCCTAGCTCTGGATTATATGTCCTTGAAGGGTAGGGGCCATGTGTTTGTCACCTCTTGTCCTTGTACACATCAGGTACTCTACACAAATGAAGGGAGGCGTGAGGGACAACTGGAAGGGGCCTCGTTTTCTTCACGTGCAGGATGGGACTAGTCATAGCGGCCCCACAGGGCTGGTGGGAACTCGGGTGCGATTCTGCAATGAGAGTCACCCCATCTCCTCCTCGCCCACAGAGTCTCGCTCCGTCAGCTGTCCTGTTGGACTCTGCAACCTCCCCATCCTGTGGCCCCCTGCCCCAGCAAATCTCTTCCCTCTGAAGCCATCCTTTTCTTGACCCTGCATCTCTCTCAGCCACCACCCCATCTCTGCCTCCTCTGAGCAAATCGTCTTTCCCACCTCCCCAGCCCTCTGCAGACTGCCTCGGCCTTGCCTGAGCATCATCTCCTCAGCTTTGGGGACCCACAGTTGGTGCTTCCTCCATTGGGAAATCTTTCTAGACTGTGTTTCCCAACCCCGACAGTCCCGCAAAGCTGGTTTAAGTGTCCTGGTGAGCAACTGTGTCTACCTAGGTTCACTACCCACAGTAGAGGGTTTTAGTGCTCAACCATATCTGCTCTTTCCTTCTTCTGAGCACACAGAATATTCTGTCCTGCTCTTGTGGCAGCTAGACTGGGAGCAGAGTGAAGAGTGTTACTTTGGGACAAAGCATTGCTTAGCAGTGCGGGATCTTCCAGGACTTTCTTCCCTTGCCCCATGGATCATAGCAGCTTATTATGAAATGGAGGTACCTCAGGTTCCAAACAGTCTGGGTTTCTGAGACACTGGCTGTGGGGGGGCGGGCTCTGAGGCCGTATGTCCAGGCCCTGAGCAGGCAGAGGGGCACTACTGAGCCACTGACCTGAGAGTCACCCAGATCACCGCAGGTTCTGTGAGTGAGATATCTTTTGTTGTGTCAAGTGACTAAGATTAGAGAGGTCTGTTACTACAGCATAGCCAAGCCCTTCCCCACTGATTTACCGACTAAAGAAGTGTTCTAAATGGGTTAATGGCTTGGTAAACTGTAAAGATCTGTGCACATTTTAGTTATTATTATTGCTGTCAAGTTGTAACAGGGCTGGAGACGTGATGTGGCTGGGAGAGTGGAGGAATGGCCAGGGTATGTCATGGAGAAAAACCCTCTCATTTATGATTTGCCAAGGGCTTGCCCAGGATCTGTTTCCATATTTAATCTCTGATGAAAGGTTATAATGAGTCTGGTATCTGGTGCTACTGACAGAAGATGGACCTTTCTTCCCGGTATTTAATTCCTGTGGTTGTGAAAGATAGGATGTATTTCTCCTGGATTTGCTATAATATAGTATTTTAATATCGATTTGATACTGACTGGCTTCAGACTCCAGCTTAACTGTATCTCTCCATCTTTGAGAGTGGTTGAAGAAAATCACATGGCTTTGTTTCTTGAGCAAGAATCTGCTAAGCAGTCACCAGATGGGGCTGTTCCCTTGAAGGCCTGTGTGCAGGATTCTCAGGGCCTTTTCTTCTCAAAACCCTTCCCTCTTTGTCTCTTTTCTCCACAACTCTCCTTTAACTCATGGTGCTATAGGGATAAATTGCCCTGTTTAATGAATAGTTGTTGAATAGAAGGTAAGTACATGAACTGTTACCTGGTTCTCCTGCCTCCTTTACCCACTTTAATTGGCCCTCAAGAGATTCCCCCACTTCCGTCCCATGGGCCAGTGAACATCAGTGGGAAAAGAGGGGCCTCTCCACCATTTTAGTCCACGCTGACTCTTCAGAATGACTCAGCTGGGGAGATTGGGCTGGACCAGAGAGAGGTGGACAGCCTGGTTTGAGTCTAGGCCTGGCCAGCTATTATGTGAAGCTGTCCACAACGGTTGCTTCCTCAGAATCAGATACCTCACCTTTAAATGGGACATCCATCATGGAGGATCACCCCAGAGGGCTTTGGGCCAAAGGGTAATTGATAGAGATATGGTATTTAGTTATCACTGTATTTGTACTTTTTCCAAGAAGCGTCAAAGAAGGATGGACTATAAAAGGTTCCTGCACACTCTTCCTTTTCTGGCTTTTTTGTTTAGCCCTTGAGGGGCTGGATTGGGTGAGGAGAGGGAGTGGTGCAGAGGAGTGGGCTTCCTAGGACGGGCTGGGAGAGGGCATGGCTACGAGTGTGCATAGGGAGGTGGGCCTAACCCTGGGGTCTAGGTTTTGTAGGATTTTCAGGCTCAGGTGAGAAGCAGGGCCATTAAACAGCCTCAAATGGGAAAGGGACCAAAGACTCACGATGGCACCCTTGATTCAAGGGTAAGTGGCATCCAAGGACCTTCAGATGGCACTAGGAGCCAGAACCAAGCATGGTTGATACTGAATTTCCAGCCAGACAGCAGGATGGGGGGTTTGAAATCAATAACTGATTTAAAGAAATAAGTAATTTTTTCTTTTTGCACATCCAAGCTTGTGAAATGAGAATGTCTGTCTCAGTACTGATAAGAGCCTCATATAAATGTGAGCTCTCGGATTGTTTTTCATGCCCACTCACTCTTGGTTGCAGTCATCCAAAAAATCAGATTCACAGACATCTCTTCACCTTGTTATCCTTCACTCACCTTTGAATATACCAAAGGCCTATTGAGCCTGTACATTTCTCAGTGGCCTAAGCACAAATGGGCATCCCCCAGGCTCCACTGCACTGACAGTCCACCTCACAGGGTTTGGGAACCACCCACATCAATCTCATGAGGGGCCATTAAAAGTGCCATTCCTGGGTCCCTCTCAGACCCACAGAAGTAGACTCTGGGGCTGGGTGGAAGGTGTTGGGAATTTGCATTTTAACAACATCCTCTATGAGTGTCACACACTCAAGAAAGTTAAGCTTTGCTCTAGAAGTGAAATGAAAGTGACACTATTATATTCCCTGCTGACAGCTGAGAAGAAAGATTTTCTGGGGAGTAGTAGTACTGGTTGTGACCATGTGATCAATTATGATTATGGTATTAATTCTGTTTTGTGCCATGGACTTAGCTGTTTGCGTCCAACTCCCCTTCTGGATATAAACCCAAGAGCAGAGATCTGGCCTCCTCAGAGCCCAGCAGAACTACACTGAAGGGATAAGCAGTGTCTGGTACCTGCCTGATACCAGGCTAATGGGTTGACAGTTGCATTACCTCTAATCCTCATGGCCATGGGCTCCTGGGGTTTATGTCATAAGCACTTTCTCTGTTTACAAGATGCAGGTGCTGGCAGGGCGCAGTGGCTCGCGCCTGTAATCCCAACACTTTGGGAGTCCGAGGTGGGAGGATCACTTGAGGTCAGGAGTTTGAGATCAGCCTGGCCAACATGGTGAAACCTTGTCTCTACTAAAAATAGAAACATTAGCCAGGTGTGGTGGCGCAGGCCTATAATCCCAGCTACTCTGGAGGCTGAGGCAGGAGAATCTCTTGAACCCCGGTGGCAGAGGTTGCAGTGAGCCAAGATTGTGCCACTGCACTCCAGCCTGGGTGACAGAGCAAGACTCCATCTCAAAAATAAAATAAAAATAAAATAAAATAAAGTGCAGGTGCTATCTGTTCTCTGACAGATGTATATGACAACATAAATTCAGGACCAAGTTACCTCAATAGCAAAATTAGAATATTTTAATAGTAATATCATAATAGAATAAAGGTTTGGGAGGGCAACCATAATCTTCTAGAACCTGAAGGTTGGCATTCATTGTTCATAAACTCAGCTGAAGGCAGTGCCTTCCAAATTTGGTTAGATTGCTGTGGGAAAGACCAGGGTTAGTTGCAGGGAATCATTTTCCAAGCAGAACCATTTCAAATGCTAAAACTGGCCCCTGAGGTTATATTGAGCCTCCCTTCCTGAGTGAGATGTTTGGAAATGAGGTGGCTTTGGAAATAAGCCTGTCTGTAACAGTGGTTTCCACAAAGACGTCAGTCTCATGGCATTGGATATTGTTTGGACACTGACATGAATGTTTTGGCATATCACCATATGAGGCCTTTCCAGAGGTGGCTTCTAGTATGCTTCTGGAGGGGGTCTTCCAAGAAGAGTGGCACTTAAGGGTCATGTATGGCCATGACCCATGCCCAGTTGTTCCAGAGGACACGGTGAGACAGAGCTGTCTGGCAAAGGGCCAGGTGCAGAGTCAGTCTGGGGGCCATGGATGGCATGGATAGTGAGGTCAGGATCCTTCATGCCAATCTGTGGCTGCTTGCTGTCCCCACCTCTCCTCCTGCTCTCATCAACTCCCATGCCCCCAGTCCCACACTGCCCACCGAGCACACCCTGGGAGGAGGCCCTAATGTAAATGGAGGGAGGTGAGGTAAAAGCTGAGGGAAGCTCCTTGGAGAACCCTGTATTAGCGCTGCTTTGCACAAAGTCGGTCTCCGATAAATATATTTGTTGAAGAATGGCCTCCTTTGTTGGCTTCTGTCTCTCAACCTCTATCACATAGCAGCGGTGTCTGTCAGCCCAGGCACCCACCTCTCTGGAGGCAGTGAGAAGAGGCTGAGAAAATGGTGATGGTGTGAGCACATTTGAAACCAGGAAAGCCACCCTTGACTGGCTCTGTTTTGTGGGCCGCAGCTTGCCCTCCAGCTTGGTGGCAGTGGACATCCACTCTGCTTCGTCACTTGCTTTGCTGACATCTCTTCTGCCTCTCTACTCCTCGGAATACAGGCTGAAGTCCAGACAGGGAAGAACATGTGAAGCCACCTCATCTGCTGCCAGGGAGATGTGGGAGGTTCTTCCCATTACTCTTGAGATGAGGGGGTCGCGTCCCCACATTGAAGGGGTGGGAGGTTGGGCATCAGGACCATTTCATAGGCCTTCCTTGGGTCTTCACTATGTTGTAGCTTTCTCAGTTTGAAATGTACCCCAGAAAGACAGGGATAAAATGTGAGGATCTAAGGACAGAAAGTCCAAGGTTCATATGGACAGCACTTAGATGACCCATCCTTGGTGTTTCTCAGTCCCTGCTCTGGTGCCTGTGTGCAGGTAATGGGCAGAGCCTGTACTTCCCAACATGGCAGCATCCAGAATGGCCTCTAGGTATAGGAAGTGAGGATCTGAGGGGGAGGGAGCCAGCCCCTCCCATAGTCTGTGCTGATGCCAAACCCAGGTGCAAAGGGGGCTACAGCCAGGCTCCCCAGTCTCCCAGTGGCTCTGGCTATTAATAACTCAGCCACTTCCTTCTTCCTCTCACCCCTGCCACTCTGCAGGGTGTGGGCAGTCAACGGGAGAGTGGAGCTGCCTGGCAA